CTACTGTTGAAAAAAAGACGTGCTGAAGAGGTTACAATTTGCCAAAGAGCACATTGACTGGCCTAAAGAGAAATGGCGCAACATTTTGTGGACTGATGAAAGTAAGATTGTTCTTTTTGGGTCTAGTGGTCAGAGACAGTTTGTCAGACGACCCCCAAACACTGAATTCAAGCCACAGTACACTGTGAAGACAGTGAAGCATGGTTGCGCAAGCATCATGATATGGGGATGTTTCTCATACTACGGTGTTGGGCCTATTTATCGCATACCAGGGATCATGGATCAGTTTGAATACATCAGAATACTTGAAGAGGTCATGCTGCCTTATGCTGAAGAGGAAATGCCTTTGAAATGGGTGTTCCAACAGGACAACGACCCTAAACACACCAGTAAACGTGCAACATCTTGGTTCCAGACCAACAAGATTGACGTTATGGAGTGGCCAGCCCAATCCCCGGATCGTAATCCAATAGAAAACTTGGGGTGACATCAAAAATGCAGTTTCTGAGGCAAAACCAAGAAATAGAGAAGAACTGTGGAATGTAGTCCAAACATCCTGGCTGGAATACCTGTTCACAGGTGCCAGAAGTTGGTTGACTCCATGCAACACAGATGTACAGCAGTTCTCAGAAACAGTGCTTATACAACTAAATATTCATTAAGTGAAAAGATTTTTGTGTGTGCAGTATATTCCAGTGGCGTAGATAGGGGGGAGTTAGGGGTGTCCAAATCCCCCCCCCCCCCAGATCACAGCAGCTAGGCTAGAGTATCCTTTCAGCTGCAGGAGCTGCACATCCACACAGGAGCCCGTTTCCTCCACATGTTGATAGGACAGTGTGGAGGGAGAGTAGGCTTGTAAGCTGTCCTGCAGCTGCTGCATCCCAACCTGTGTCCTGGGATTCGAGTTATGAGAGCCAACACTGTCTCCTTACTTTGTGTCCAGAAGTGCAGAGTGTGCAAGAGAATACTGGGCACTAAAACGCTCTCTGCATTCCAGTGAAAGTGACACTGTGCTGAGTGGAGTTCTCTCCACCCACTGTACAGGCAAAGTCCCAGCCTGGAGGGAGAGAGAGCAACATGGGAGCCTGTGATCAGGTAAGTGATCAACAATTTGGCAGGGGAGGGGGCTGAAATTGAGTTGCATTGAAATTTAACCCCCCCATGACCACTAATGCGGAGAGGGGTGGAGGTGGTTTAACTTTCACTGTATGACCAATGAAGAAGGGGGGACGGAAGGTTAAAATGTAACTGCCATTACCACCAATGCAGGAGGGGGATATGGGGTGTTAACCTTCACTGTCATGACCACCAATGCAAGATGGGGATTGAGGGTTAACCTTCACTGCCATTGCCCCTCACACACACACACACACACATTGGTGGTAATGGCAGTGACATTCTAACCCACCATCCCCCCTTCTGTACCTGTGGTTGTACAGTGAAAGTTAACCCCCACCTCATTAATGGTAATTGAGAATACATTTCAATGCCACTGACCACCAATATGGGGGAGGTGGGGTTAATAGTACTGACACTAGTGCTGGGGGTATTATTGCATCCACTGACAACAATTTTGAGGGTTATTAATGCATCCATTGACTCTAGTTCTGGGGTTTATTTTTACATCCATTGACACAAATTCTGGGGGTTATCACACTCACCGACACCAATGTTGGGGGTTAACAAATCATCCACTGACACTAATGTTGGGGTATAATAATGCTTCCACTGACACCAGTATTTAGGGATATTCTTGTAGGATTCAAAGTAAGTGGAGATCATGGGAGTAGCAGTGTCTATTTCCAGCTTCCAGTGGCATCAAGTCAGGTATGATTTATACATAGTTACATTAGTCCAAGCTGGAACAAACAAAAATATCCATAGCTGCAATTATTCTTTATATTGTCCCCGAGTTCCAGGTATATGGTATGGTATATACCTTTTAATTACTTCATGTTAGTAGTGGTTCTCCACCATTTTTTTACTGTGCAGAATTATTGATTGTTCACGTAGTTAACATCTGCAGACCTACTTTAAGATGTTGGGATTAGTGTTTACTTGCTTATTTTTACTACTGGTGTTTTGTTGCTTTAATTTACTTTTGTATTTCTACAACACTCTTAGGCCCCTTTCAGATGGACCCGCCAGCGGATATGCTGAGCAAGCGGATGACAGGTCTGTGTCCACTCTGTTGCTGCACAGCGGACACAGACACAGCCTGCTGTTTCCTATGGTGCAGTCAGATGAAAACTGACCACTTGTCCGTTTTGCACTTGACTGTCATCCGATCCACCGGATGGATGGGTAAAGGATCGCCAGTCATCCGTTTTTTTTGGTGTCCAGGATTGGATCAGATACCGGTGGGTGTCAATGGACACTTGTCTGCTGACATCCACCAGTCCATAGAGATCTATGGATGGTCTGATTGGGTCCGCCTGAAAAACTGACAGGTGGACCCGTCGGAATGTCACTGTGAAAGGGGCCTTTGGGATTACTTTCACCTGCATTACTCTTTGAACAGTGATCCACAGTAGATCTATTTTTTGAGAGTGTTGCAGATGTGGCTGACAGGCATTCAGGAGGTGACACTGCTACCTTCTGAATACCTGTTTTTTTTTTTTACAGCTAAAGGGGCTCTTTGAATGGAAATAACTCACCACTGAGCGGGGCGGATAACGTCATGATCTCTGCCTCAGCCAATAAGAGAAAGTCTTGCATTTGCTGATAAAAGACTTCCTGTGAATGGCTGAGCAGAGATCAGCCCAATTCAGTTTTGTTCTGGCAGCAGATGGTAAAATCCCTGTCCACTGCTGGAACACAGAACTATATACTGTATGTAGATGATGCTACATACAGTTTATACAGCTTTAACAGGCAGCACATCTATTAGCAAAGGACGTTGTTCATTTGGACCAGTTTGGCCCAATCAAAATATTTAAAATCACCATAAACATGTAGTTAGGCTTTAACCCCTCCACTGTGCTATAGGGATAGTGTGGCCTGCTCTGCCATCTCCATCCAGCCTACAGGATTGGCCATCAGGGGATGGACTGCTGAGCCAGAGGACCACATGGACACAGAGTTCAGAGGGAGGCTCAAAGCATTTCTGAATACCTCTTGCCTGCTTGGAACAGAGTATGTGAGATTGACCACCATCAGGAGGTCATCTGCAGCATCAGTGTGGTGAGAGGTCTTCAGCCACCCTTATTTGTTTCATACTTTTTGCTGTCACAGGAATTCACTATCAGTAGAGTTCAGCCTAAAGGGGATTGCATAAACTAGACTGTATATGACAAACATTTGCAACGGTAGAGTTTCATATTTTACAAATGAATGTGCTGAGGTTTGTATATGTCTGTTAGACTAATAGACTAGTAATTACAGCATACATTCTGGGTACAAAGACTGTGGCATATGTTACCATGTACACAGTGAGTGGGATCAGGTTTTAAACCCCTCTCGCAATTCTGTCACATCTACAATTTGTCACAACATGGCAGGAGCACTGTCTAACTATTTTTCTCTGAGTGCCCAAGGCTGAACTCCCCCCAGGAGAAAAAAATACCTATGATCCTGGTGTAGTCTATCTTTTATCTCCATGTTAAATCTTGGACAGGTGACCTCAGACAGGCTCAATGGGGGCATAGGACAGTGGCATGCAGTAATCAGTGTAATGATTCACAGATCACTTTTAATTGCTCTAGCCTCATTAAAGCTATTATTTGTCTAGCTGCAGATCAGTATAGTATGAACTATCGTAGGTCTGTCCAACTCAAATGTTTAAGGACTGAAAATTCTTATTTAATTGTCTATAACCTGTTATTTACAGAAATACTAAAACTGGAAGAATGATGCCCCTCGAGTTACACAGTAGATTTCATGTTTTATATTACATCATTTCTGAATACATGAAATAAAATAAGTGTTGCCTTTAAGCAGTACTGAGAAAAGAGAGTGGGTGTTCCTGTGGAATAAAATATATTCAAAGCCATGATTTGCAGGACTGTTGTAGCGGAAACACAAATTCCTATTTCATCAACTTGAAATGATGATAAATAGCACTATATTGATGATATAAACACCATGCCATCTAGATATTTCTTGGCTCTATGAAATGGTATTGCAGCCTTCCACACTTCCTGATTGTCGAAGTCCAAATATGTAATACCCTACGCCATTGTCCTTGTTAAGAGCAAATCTAAATTATATGATCGGCATCTCACTTCCAAAAGAATATTAAAGAGAGTAAATTAAATTGCTAAGGGTGAAAAGTGCACAGTGTAAAGGAGATAAAATGAATGTCCAGCAGTATATCTTGTGATGTTCGCCAGCCTACCTCCAGCCACTTTCATATTCATTCTTGGACAGTAACTATATCTTGTCCGGAAATAGGGGCAAAGAAAACAGAAACATTTGATCTAATATTGAATCAGCATTGTGGAAAAGAGAGTCCCAGACTAATATCAGAGTTCAGATGTGGTTATTTATTGTAGTGTACTTTAAAAAAAACTGGGGGTTATTTACTAAAACAGGAGTGTGCAAAATCTGGTGCAGCTCTGCATTGAAACCAATCGGCTTCCAGGTTTTATTTTATTGCCAAAGCTTAAAGTGTTACTAAACCCACAACAGTAAAATCAGTCTGTATATGCAGAACAGCATGCTTGTTATACCCACTGTGGATCCTAAGGGGTTAATCCTCTGCATTGTGTAAAAAGGCTGTTTAATCCTGACTTCTCTGATCCCCCCAATTTGGTGTATATTGCTAGAGAGGTTTTTTTTTTTTCTTGGGAGAGTGCATGTGATCAGCACAGGGGCAATCAGCACTATCCAGACAGAGGGCAGGGGCCCTGCATCCTCCTAGAACAAAATGAAAACTCCACCTATATGCTTTAACATGTGCTCTGCTGGACACTGATAGAAGTCACAAGAATGCTTTCTGATGAGAAAAGGTATTTAGCAGTTTATATTTACTAAAATAATTGCACTTTCATGTTGTGTACTGTGAGAGAAGAGATATAGTGAATGCAGGGTCCTGGGTGTAGTAACACTTTAACTGTGCATGCTGAAGTTAGAAACTGACCATGCACAGCTGCACTAGATTCTGGGTGCCCTAAAATTAGTAAATCTCCCCTATTGTGTTTCAGGGGTTCTGAAAGCTCCCTTATTCTGACTTATTAATGTTGAAATGGAGAGGATGTGGATAAATAAAACTACATATCTTGATTTTTATACTTTAAACATTAACATAAAGTCTACCCCAGTCACTGTTGTGGCATCCCAACCAGTTATTTCTTTCATAAATGTAATCGCAGGATACCTACCTTTCATCATCTAGATGCCTTCCTGTTCATTATTTTTAAGCCATTTGCAGCGCCCAGAGAAAATCAAACTCATGGATTTTCCTTCATCTGGGTATAATAAGGTTAAAACCAGTCTATACCTAATCTTTTTTTTTTTATGTTTTTGTTCATCTTTATTAAATTTAAGAAAACAACTGAACATTGATGGGTTAGGGGATGCAAACTTAGCAGATGGTATCAGAGCAGTTTACTGGCCTAGAGAATTTTTGGTTATTCACTTATCTCGAGTTATCCATTATATAAAAACAAACAGTACATGATAAGAGCCTTGTCAGAAATGTTTCTTTAAGATTTTTGTTACCTTGAAGAATTTTTCAAAATGCCTTAACATTTGTCTGATGATGTGCACAACAGACCTTAATATTATAAAGCGTGTTTCCATGTGCTGCATTGCAGTATCTTTTAGCCTTACCAGCACAGAAAGCTACTGCTACACCACTGTAGCTGAAATGTAAAAGACAAAAAAGACAGCTAGAAAAAGCTCAGGTTTCCATTTACTGACAGTCTTGAAATGAAAAAAAACAGATTTCTCTATGTGATGTGGCTATCAATGACTTGTTGATCCTTTACGTATTTGATTTAGCACTTTCTATATTGAATCAATAAAGTGCATTTCCATATGTTATTTTTTTATATATATATATATATATATATATATATATATATATATTTAGTAAAAGCATCATTTGTTTACACCTCTTTTAATTTAGTAAATCTTCAATGTACTGTTCCTTCATTATCCTCTGCACAACAGCTGAAACTTAAAATCACGTGGCATTTGAAAAATACAAACTAGGGTGAAAAGAACCACAGATTAAAGGAATGAACCCAAGAAAAATGTGGTCATAGACTTGGAGGAACACAGGTTGGGCTCTCTATACAAGAAAAACAAAAAAAAAGAATGAGGACAATACAACTGTGTGTAAATTGTATACCATATGATCCCCATGTGAGCACTAGGATTTTCTTCTTTAATGCTTAAAACAACTGATGTGCTTCCAAGGTATCGGAACTGTCCTTATCACAACTAACAGCCACCCCTAACATTTACCTGAACCCCATCTCGATCCAGCGATGTGCACAAGAGCCTTGGTTCTCCTGGGTCTCTTCCTCATTGACTGAGACAGCTGTGGTAGCCATTGTCTCCTGCTACCGCCAATCAGAGCCAGCCAGCCAATGAGGAGACAGCAGTGGCTGGGCCAAGCTATGCATCGGCTTGGGAGCGAGCCTGCTCAGGTGTCCTCAGGTTGGCTCTGAGGAAGAGGTTGTGTCCTCGAAACGCGTTAGCCAGTTGGTCATCCAGGGTTCCATCGTATGGACTCAGATGTTGTTTGGATCATACACCTTGTTTAGTTTGACATGCCTGTGTTATTATGTCCATTGTGAGTATGATACCTATTTTTGTTTCTTTAATAAATTATTTTAAACGATAATGCACTAGGTCGGTGCGCCCTTTTTCTGTTTCTCCATTTGTATCCAGTGTATTCTGACCACCCCGGTCTGTTGAGGGCAGCAAGCAGTGCATATTCCAGAAAATTCCAGAACATTCCTATTGGGTCTACTGAGTCCTTTCCTAGCGCAGGAGTAAAGTGTTTGTTGTGTTGGAGTCCCCATAGCAATCTGCCTGCTATTGAGGCACTAGGCAGGTGGGAAGGGCCAGGAGCACTGGCAGAGGACCTAAGAAGAGAGGGATTTGGGTCTGCTCTGTGTAAAACCATTGCACAGAGCAGGTAAGTATGACATGTTTGTTATATTTAAACAAGAAGATAAATCTGCCTTTATTATCACTTTAAGTAACAATTATACACAAATCTCCAGCCAAAAGTAAAATAAAACTGAATAGCCCATTAAAAGAAAATAAAAATAGCTTTTTCTGCCGTTTTCACCATCAATCCAAAGGTATCATCAGCAGTATTTTTTCCTGCCACTAGATATTCTTGGTCTAATGGCCTGCGCCATTCAACCCACTTTCTCAGAATCCAGGCTGTTTGGGACCTGCTCCGGCCTGTGACTGGACAAAGAAAGAAGAAGCAGCAAATTGATGAACTTATCTATTTGTCACTTTGCTCTCCCCTTCTATCAGTATGCTTGTTGTCGGCACATAACTAAACTGGCTATTTTTACAGCTTCTTCACTGAACACTCCAGCCCTGCTGTACAGGAATTGCAAGAAGCTGATACCAGGTCAAATCCAGATACTTAGACTGCTTGCATCAAAAACATATTTAACAATGCATTAATGATTATAGAGCTGCACTAATTTGTGTTTTTAGTTGTATGTCTGCCTACAGTTCAGCTTTAACTAGCTTAAATAAATTTCAGTATTAACAATGAAATAATGGTAGAAGTAAATTCACTAGAAAAATATGCATAGACGTAAACAAGGTCTAGCAAAAATATAATCTATAGTGCCTCTTATGGCCACTAAATACAAATATTAAACCAGTATCTTTTTTTCCATGTAAAACTACACATATCTTAGTAAGAAGAAGGAAAGGGAAATAAAGAAGCTCTCTGATCTGTAGCTCTGCAGTGTTGTCATAGCTTTGGTAATGGAGGAGAGTGTAAGAGGTGTTAACCCTTTTGCTACCAGGTCCATACATCATATAGACCTGACAACGGGGGTTTTTATACACAATCCAGTCGCTGCAGCATGTGCCCCCCCCCCCCCCCCCCCGCCGGGCTCTGCTTGCCCATCTGCGGGCTGACATGTCGGCGGGTGGAGTGGAAAGAGGAGAGCAGACACAGGTTTCTCTCCTTCTCTTCTTGCTGTGACCCAGAAAGCGAAGTGCATGACGTCACATCTGGGTCTCCGCTGTCGCTTTTCCTGGCTAGAATAGCGAGGGAGAGATGTACTGCAATGCGATCTGCATTGCAATATATCCAGTGAAGTCCAGAGGAGACAGGCAGGGTCTAAACTAAAGAGAACCTGTCACCTAGGGAACTTTTTTTTCCCATATGTGATGAAAAAAAAATTCAGTAACATTTTTTTTTGCAAAAAAATAAAGTTACACCCCAGCACAGGCCCCCCACATATATGCACATATGAGCATAAATACACACATCAGTGGTGCTTACACATGACAACGTTGATTGCAATATACATTACATATCTCTGCGCACACTGGAGTGAGAGCAAAAATTCAAGCACAAGACCTGCTTCCTAACACTAAACTAATGACCTGTGGGGGCTTTTGAAGCATCGCCTTTTATATTTTACCAAACATTCAGGTAATTTATTGTGTTTGTATGCCTTAAAATTAACTTTAGTGTGTGTTTTTACTGAAATGTTGAATTTCCTAGACCTTTGTGGTAATATCGTGTGACACAAAAAAATTTAAACTACTACTATTTTATTCTCTAGGGTATTTGCTTTCAGAAAATATATTTTTGGGGTTTTTATGTAATCTTCAGGTCTAAAATGATTTTTTAAACATGCAAAAAATGCAAAAACAGTTCTGACAGCGAAAGGGCTAAGATCTACCTCTAGGAATTCCAAAAATATTGCTCTTACAATGACCCCGCAATGCAAGGGTCATATGCTGATTAACTCAAGGGGATGAGAAATAAAGTGTAATACTTGCCTTACACATCGCTATGGTGGGTTCCCTGCATCTATACGACTGGTCCCTTTTCTATAATGGGCGTTTTCTATAAGATTCTGTGGACCATAGTTGCATGACAACATCATCTACTACAATGTGGGGCCATAAGCTCTGCATTGCTTGTGAGAATGGTGAGGGATCATCCACAATCCAGAGTGAGGAGATTAGTAGAGCTGGCTGGAGTGAGGAGTAAGGTAAATATTACACTTTATTCCTCATCCCCTAGGACAGTGTGAGAGTGAGGGGTGGAAGGGTGGGAAGAAGGGGGGGTGCAGATGGATGGAATGATGGCCACTGTAGGCATACATTTTTGAAATCCTGGAGTTCGGTTCTAAGGCAGGAAATAGCTCAATCATTGTTCAGGTGGGACTGAGAATTTTAGACATTTAAAATATGGAGTCTCATGCTTCAGGGAAAAAGCGGCCAAAAGACATTGAAGGCACTAAGGAATGGTTGTCAAACACATTTATTTTAAAGGCAAAAGCTATTTAACTTATTGCAAACATGGTTTTCTTTTTTGACTTTCTACTTTAAATCATTTTTAATATGAAAAATAGCTACAATGTACCACTGTATTCATTCACATAGACTGGATGGAGCACTGAAACTAACCAAGGATTCATCTCTTTCGCATACCTGAGGAAAACAGCTTTGCCTTCCAAAGCCAGTGGAGCAGATTTAGTGAAATGCCAAAATGGACAATAGGAGGCAAATGTTATGAAATGCTGAAATGTCGGCAAGTTTTATAAAGTGCAGCTAAATGGAGGGTTTAACAAATAAGAGGCATAAGTAAGCTTGCTGTCGACAATATGGAAAGCTTGAAGAGCCACAAAGTGATAATAAAATTTCAGATGCAGGAGAGCTGAGCGTGGACAGGTTGGAAACAGATTGTACAAAGAGCAGCAGGCATCCTTTTAGCTCAGAGCTCATAATTTTTGTTTGACTTAAGCAGGATCAGTCAATATTTCATTTTCCCATGAATGATTGCAGCCAATTTGTCATGTATAGCATTTATATTATAAGATCACACTGCTTTGCATGGCTTGAAACAAGAGACAATGGACAGAGCGTAGGGTGATTCCTCAGCCTGAACTGACAGCTCGGCGCTTGAAATTTATTTTCATGTTTTATTTTGATGAGTGTGTCAGACTAATTGATG